AGTGTACGAGTGCAGGTTTTGTCCCCTCAAGTACTGCAAATCTCAAGCCCTCGGTGGTCACATGAACCGCCACCGCCAAGGTTTCTTTTTTTCTTTTTTTTTTTTTTCTTACGTAAAATAATAATTTTATGTTTTTTTTTTTTTTTAATTTAATTAGATTATGTTTTTATTTATTTAATATTGTTTGTTAATAGAGAGGGAGACAGAAACGCTAAACAAGGCTCGTCAACTGGTCTTCACTACCGATCTTGCTCCTGCCCACATTGGTTATGTTTCTGGGTAATTATAATTAATTAATTAATTCTTGCTTCTTTTTTTTTAATTAATATCTTTTATTTAGTAAGTTAAATTAAATAATTGTGTGTTTTTTAATTTTTTTTTTTTTTTATTGTTGTTGTTTGAGCAGTGGGCAGCCGATTACACACGGAGGAGGATATCATCAAGGCGGCGGCGGCGGCGGCGACCCATCGTTGACCTTCAGATCAATGTACCCACCGCCGACGAGATTGTTTTCCTCCTCCTCGCCCCTCATTCCACAACCACCACCACCTCCGCCGCCACAGCCTCAGGCGGGGCAACCCTACATGTACGCTTCTCCTCCTCACCTACTGTCTTTCCACCCTCAATATCCGGCGCCGGCGAACAACGACTACTTCGTGGGGCATGTCCTCAGCTCGAATCCCAGCAGCTGCTACGGCAGCGGAGGAGGAGGAGCAGCAGCCACTGCAAACGAGGGTAACTACACCTGCATCGGAGCTCCGGTGGGGCATGGATTCGCAAACGGCGGTGGTGGTGGTGGTGGTGACGTGTCGCTGCACATGAATCAGGAGGATGGCCAAATGAACTGGGGCCGGAGGTAGAGATCGAGAGATCGATAAGGACAACAATTGAATCAAGATTGATATATTTTGTCTAATATAATATATAATATATGTATTTTGTGTTTTGTGTTTTGTCATGTTTTGGTGTGTGTGTGTGTGTTTTTGTAGATGAGTGAGAGTGGCAAGTGTTGTGAGTTGTGACAAGCCACTCTCACTGTAAGACAAAGAATCACAACAAACTGACCAATCTCCATCCCCATTTTTATTTTATTTTATTTTATTTGCAACAAGTTCATTTTTATTTTTATTTTTTTGTTGTTTTTGTGTATATATAAAACAAGATTTTATGATTCAGCCTTTTGAGCTCTCACATTCACATCTGCTGCTTGCTCAGCTTCGTCTTCACCAAATAATTGGAGGCTTGTGTTTGTCTCTCTGTGTGTGTGTCTGTGTGTGTTTTTTTTTTTTTTTTTTTAATTAATTAAAAACTAAGTGAAGAAGATGTCAAAATTTGGGCTAATTATTATACGAGGGTTGTATCTTTGGGTCCGCTCTATATATTGAAAGAATTTCTTTCATACTGCAACGACTATGGCTGGAAATTGGAACGAAATATCCCATTTCCGCTGATTCCGATTTGAAAATTTTCCATTTTGGAACAATATTTCTCAATAAGAATTTCGAAGTTCCGACCTCCAAATTTTCTGAAATTATTTGGATCGAAATTGGAATATATATGATATTTCGATTTTGGAATAAATTTTTTCATTCCAATTTTTGAAATTTCGATTTTCGATCTTTTTGATAGGAAATTAGAACTAGTTTTTCACTTCTGAAAAATTAAATCATTTTTTTCTGAAAGGGCTAATACCGATCCGATCCGTTCGATTTACACCTCCTGCAAGAACATTGCCCGAATGGTATTAGAGTTGGGAATCTAGTGTTAGGTAACGAGTTCTATTCGTGTTGCCCGTTGGGTTCGATTGTAGGTCATTTTTTTCTTTCATCTTTTATTTTAAATTATTTTTTTCGATAGAATGAATACTACTTGCATATTGATAGTTAATATTATATATAAATCTATATTTTTTTTTTGCACTAAGAAACACAAATAAAGATTACATTTTTCAAATTATTATTATATATAAATAATTCAATATTAATTGTTGTAACTTGTAAGTTAAAAACAAACAAATTTTACTTTATTTTTCCAATTCTTCTTCTAAAATACATTTTTCAACACTTTTAAATATGATCTGACTGCTGCTATGTACTTTGTTTCATCTCATATTATAAACAAACACTGCTTTCGTTCTCAAATTATTCCCTCAAAACATATCTCCCCAAAATAAAATAAAAATAACTCGCAAAACGATTCCAAACATTGCCTTTGTCTTTGATTAATTTGCCAATCAAATGATGAATTTTGGTAATTAATATAAATAAGAAAACATTTTTTTTAGCAAATTAGAGACCAATGCAATAAACCCTTAATATGAATTAGCCCTAACCACTAGACAATTTTGGGTAAATTTGATTACATAAACAAAAATTGGCCTTATAAAATGGCGTATGGAAATCTCTAATGGTTTATGTCAATTAATCGTTCTTGATTTGTTACTTGGTTTCACCATTGATCAAAACTTTAACATATTTTGTTTCATTTATCGATGACCTATTAGTTGTTTTCCTTCGTAAAGAGAAGCAAAATATAGAGAGAAGGAAAATATTTACGAAACCCTAGAGTTTTTGCAAGCGATAGTTTCTCGAGGACTAGTAGTTACGCTATATTATGAAAATCGAAAATTACTAGAAATAAAAACTCGTTTTGTGAAGCCTAAACAAAGTCGAATTGCAAAAAAACTGATGTGCGGCGATAACTAAGCTCTCCGATATTCGTAATCAGTCATTTCGCTTTAGAAAAAAATGGAGAAAAAGAATTGTCTGCTAATTAGGTTTAGATATTTAATGATAGTTAAAAAAGATTGATATATATTCCCTTAGTGATAAATAATTAAATAAGTAAAAGTAATATAAAAAAAATTAGATAAAAATATAGTAATTTCTATAAATGTGCCTGAATATAATTAAAATACTGGAAAGCTGTAATAGGGAATATTTATGGATAAATAATACAAAAAAGAGAGAGGTTTAATTGAAGAGACAACAAAACAAAGACTGAGGAATATTTTCAGAGTAAAGAGATTTCGGCCAAAAGCTGCTTATGAAATTAGAGGTGCGCCTAGGAGTGCAAATATAGGATGTCAAGAATCAACATTTATATATATATATATATATATATATATATATATATATATATATATATATATATATATTCCACTCTAATTGGCAGGTCAACTCACTCTACCTATTTCACATTTCACCCTACTAAACTCTACACACACACACACACTGGTCATGTCTGAACACACACTATTCTCTAGGTCAAGCTGGAATATATATGTATATGTATGTATATATGTATAAATGTGATTATTCAATATCTTGTTTTTTGTCCATATTTCAGTGCCGTAATCATAACAATTCAGCCCTACAATTTTTTTGCAAAATATATTATAATTGATATGAGAAATCCTCAAGTAATTAATTAGTGAATATATGCTAATTATATTAGTTATGTTAGCATGAGTTTGACACTAATTATCCACACAGGGATGGAGGTCTCGGCATGGGCGGGCCCACAAGCGAATATTGTGAATGCTTTTGTGTGTTAATTGAATGCATTATAAAATTAGGGTTCGCATCTTTCCCAACACTAATTAATTTTAGTACTAGTACTTTCAACCCTTGTAAAATTAATTGTTCGCAAAAATCGTATATTTCTTTATGAAATATTCATATTAATTTTTAAATGTAAGGGAGAGTAGATAAGTACAAATAACTCTTTAAAGTATGTTTTAGTTGCAGAACACTTTTTTCCCTCTAACTATTTTGTGAAATATAATTATCATCATGCTTGAATTACAAAATTTTCCTTTCAGTTTGCATTTTTATATAATTACACCGAAATATGATATTTTTATTTATCTTCACCGGTTAAAAAAGGGAAAAAAAACATTAATCTCGTGATTTTTCTAATATATATAAGTAAATAAACCATGAACATTATTAGCTAAAATATTTTAAAAATAGTCAAAATCTTCTCAAATTGTTTTTTTTTTAACAATGAGAGATGGATATTTACTTGTTTTCTGTCTTAAATTAAAAAAAAATTGCAAATATTTTTGGTTTGTACCTAGGATATATCAAGAATATATAATAATTAATTTATTAAATAACTAATTCATAAGGATTTTGGAAGAATAAATATGAATACTTCCAATATCTTAATTATTTAGTTTTGACAACTCGTGATGGGCCAAGAAAGGTAGAAAACTAGAACTTTAACCATTAACATATTCTTCTAATTTTGAAGAGAGAGAACTTATTTAATCTTATATATAAAAGAAAGAAACGCTGGGCAACCTTCAAAATCTCTAATGGTATTTCTGTAATTATTTATTTTTAATATTTTTTCTCTACTAATTTCTAATTATAATTTTTAACAATTATCAATCTCCGATTTTTCATCAATATATCTCAAATCTTAAGAGATAAAGATAGAAATACGATTTTTAAATCTTAATCTATATATTTGGATTATAAATATTAATATGTAAGATTTAAAAAAACCAATGTTATATAAAATATGGATAATACTACATTATTAAATTTTACTATGTTAGTGTACGATATTTC